CGAACAGTTCCGCAATTCAAAAACTCGGTAAAAATTACTGACTGGATAAGTGTGTGGCATTACTCTGAGCAGTAGACTCAGGAATTATTCCACCAAAATTTACAGCTTGTGAGCGAGAAGGCATAAAACGAGAATAAGGTTAATTGACATTGATGGTAGGCTCTACCAGGAAATCAAGCAATTTGACAGAAATTTGCCGTTGACCAAGGCAAAATTAAACATTCGCTCAGAATGGAAATTTTTTCCATTGACCTTATACACTGGAGGATGATGATACCCCATTTGGTATATGAACGTTTAGCTGAATGGAAGTTTTGCCAAATGGACATTTGGCCGAATTGAATAATATCGAAGACAACAAATCATGAAGACTGGCAACCTTGCCAGAATCCAAGCGACAGATACAATTGCGCTGCGCTTGAGTGAAGGAAGAAAAATTAGCAAATACACAAACCCTTCTTCTGAGGATGTAATCTTTGCTATCAAATTCGTTGGAAGCATTTACCTTTGAGCGGCAGATGACGCGATTGTACCTGTCTCATAGCGTTCGTATGAGAAAATGGAAGAGTTGCCAGTCTTCTTGATCGGTTGTCTTTGATAATATCCTTTATACATCTAATCTAATCTAATCTAATCGAACACCAACACAGCCAGTTCTTGAAAGCATCCTGGAAAATGATTGATATACGTCCATTTGTGAATATGACTTATGTTTCACATCGAAGATGCGTCACACATACCAAAACGGCCAGGCCTACTGTGCAGCATTTAAGGGGAAAGATGATTCAAAAAACGTTACGATGCTTCAGAATCCAATAAATGTTGAAACGTTGACGTTCCGTTTTTGATACACACTTAGAAATTACCATTATTACACGAGACGTAATTCAGCTTTGACGTAAATCATGGAACGTTAACAAACATGGCATATAAAATTAAGTGTTCGGAAACCGAAACACATGCAACTCGATGAAAAGTACGTTTGATTGAATTGATTTTCTCGTCCTTTTCAACTGATTCTTATGTCAAAAGGGCCGCTTGCATGTGTCGGTCTCAGGGCACTGAAATTTACATGTATTTTTCGTAGCGTGTCATTATATGATTGATTGGTCGGTGGAAGCATCTAAGCTGGTTGAGTGGTTAAGTGATTTTCCTTTTTTTTTTCCTCTGACTTTTGGGATATGAGCATTAACTATTGTCCTAGCTTTTTATGGCTTATGATTATAGCGCCATTACTCACTTTCTGAATAGAAAATGAAAAGAAAATATAAGTATACAGGTTATCTCAAAATTGAGCGTACAGTTGTCCGTACATTTCAGTAAAACAGCTGTACGAGCACAACTTTAAAGGATAGATTTCTAAATTGTTGGCTGCTGGCTCATCAACCATTTATTGGTTATCGGTATAGTATTGGACTTATTTGGATGAGTGTGTAAGAAGTTAGAGCTATTTTAGAAAAACTAGATTCCCTAAAAAAACACATTATCTTGGAATACAATGAGCCAATCATTTTGAAATTTTCCTCATTTGTAGTCATAATAAAGATCTTTAAAATGCCGCTAATTTTACTAAAATTCGCCTACTATGAGAAAAGTTGAAAATCGACCGTTTTACAGAAGTTACTCAAACTTCATACATACTCTGCCAATAAATTCCAAAGCTGTACTGGTAAATCAATAAATAGTTGTTCAACCACTAGCCAAGATTTCAAAAATCCATCTTCTTACAGTTTTTCAAAAAAATGAAGGTGTACGCTCACTTTTGAGATAAACTCTATGAACATAAACAATATTTTTGAATTGAAATATACACTTATGAATTTCTTTTCAAAAGAAACATCTTAAGAATAGTAAATTATCGTTCCACGATATATTCACTGTAAAGTCTAAACTTGAAGTGATCTGCTCGATCAACCTGTGACCATCTAACAACCTAACATCTATACTAAATTGATGCGGTCAGCTTGGAATAGTTGATGCCGCCGCGATGTCTTCCGTCTAATTGTCACGTACCAGGATTCCGGTTGCTAGTTGCGCTAAATTATGATGAGGTTGTAAGAGGGCTGAGTTCTTCTTCTGTTTTCCTTTATTTAACGTCAGTCTCTGTTCCACAATCTAGTGCCAATCACCGCGGACATCGATTGTTATCCATTAAAGGCAATCGAATGTGCAGGAAGGCAGCTTCCACACCTGCGTAGGATATCGCACCCATTCAACACACATGGGCCGGGACCAACGGCTTTACTTCCCTTCCGAAGGAAGACGTGACCAGAGATTTCTATGCCTCAGAAAAATACCACCGACCTCGGCTGGGATTGAACCCAGACCCATTGGGGTGTGAAAGCAGTCACGCTTACCACCGGCGCCGGCTAAAGAGGGCTGAGTTGGTTGGGATGATATCTCACCTGATGGAGGCACTGCGTGGGAACGCCAGCTTGGGATAATCTGGGTCATAGCTGTTGTCTTAGGATACCACACCGTTTAAAAAAATCATATAAATTTCTGCGAGATATAGCGCACATAAAATTAACGCTAGATTGGCATACATTAGCAATATTGTATGCAAGCTCAAAACGATTTAGTTGTTCATGCCAAGTATAGCTCAAAATTAAACGAAGGGAGGTTTTACGCCATAGTTAAAATTCAGATTTTTTTTCTGTGCATACGGTCACCGCCAGAGGCTTAAAAAATAACAAGGACCAAAATGTGTTCCATTGATTACTGAAAAATCCTGATCCCCTAGTTTGAAGTTATCAGAAAGGTGATCTACCAACGTTATTGGTTGGAATAATCTTCATTATACATTAAGATAAATTAAATGTACGTAAGAATTTTAGGACAACGTCCCTTTCTAACAATTGGGCGAATATATTAAATTATTAATTTCACCATAATCCCTTAAACTATTGGCATAATTACAATTATATACTCCTGACCAATTCCACCCTGGTTTTTGTTTGAATAAAATATATTGTTTGAGTCAAATCCAAATAGCTCAAATATATCTCAGTGTACCTCTGAGACATTTTGAGGAATTAATGTCTATTTGATGTAAACTTTGAATAATTAATGACACTTTGCGTTCACTTGCGCATTTTTTTAAAACTAAATGAGAAAATCCTGTTATTTTCTCAAAATTTAACTTGATTTATATTTTTTAGTACTCTAAAATGTATAGCCTTGATCTGACAAAGATTTAAATGATCAGGAAAAATCATAAAATTATGCCTTTGAAACTGAACCTTTGATTATTCAAAATTTAATACTAAAAACGTGAATTTTAGGCAAATTTTATAAAATTTCGTACATCTCAGTAGTTTAAAGATGAACAGCTTTTATGTTTTTCATAAAATTCTGCGTTCTACAAATTTGTTCAAGAGGATAAACCTCTATCTTGCAAAATAAAATAGGTTGTATCGCTGCCCCATATTTGTGGCCAAAACTTGAAATATTTTGTCCACCAAATTGTAGTCTTAATTAATTCAAGAAACTCCTGCTAGATTTAATTCCTGGCTCACTGTGCAATGTAATCAGACCAAACATGACACTACTGCTGACAGTGGACCCCTCCACAAAGTCAGCTGTCGACAATTTCTACGTCAAAACTGCGAAGTACCACAAACCACGACCACTGCTACTCAAACAAGTAAAACGAACCAAACATTCAAATATACCACGACTAGACAAGAACTCGTACAACCGACCACGCAACGAAAACGACACCCCTAACCTAAACGACCCGACAATATCGACGGATATCAAACGACTATAGATAGCATAGACAGTGAAGACAGCTTAGGGCACTCCCTTTTGGAGGGCCACCAATCCTTGGGATGGCCCTTCTGGACTCCCCAAATCACAAGGAAGGTCCCTTTCGGGCTCCTCAAGCCTCCTTTAAAAAAAAAAACTCTGCAACTTGGGAGTCCCCATCTGCATCGGCTGAAAGTCTCTTAAGGGGGGAAATACAAGTAACACGTCAAAACTCGACGATTTTCGGAATTTTTGTGAGCAAATGAAACAACGCAAACGTTTGGGGTTTTTGCATTAAATTTTTGAGTTATCTTTCACGCCAATATGGAAAACACCGTTTCGAGAAAAACGCGTTTAAAGTTTTGGGTTGTGTAAAAACATGATTTCTTGAACTTACGGTTAATCGGCGATACCAGGGCCAAAGATCACTCCTTCCTCGTGCTCGTATTTCCCCCCTTAAAAAAAAGAAACCCAACCAACCGACCCTACTATTTACCGTAGTTCGTTATCAATAACAATGTGCAATCTTCATCAGTATCGGTCGCATATTTCAAGAGCAAGCAATCGATAGTAGATTTAAATGTAAATTAATAACGCTTCTCTCTTTCTGTTTAATTTATTATAAACATTGAATCATTGCAATGAAAGTCTTTCAATAGAGGTACAGCAGAAAATGAGCAAAACACGACAAGGATATAAGTACTGGCTGCCCTCAACATTTATTACTGACTAAAAAATAAAATAAAATTGACGCCTTCTTGAGTCACCAAAACTCCGTCACAGCCATAGAACACCACATCTATCGCAGAAGTAACCGCTCACGCATTCAGATACAGCGCGAATGAACTCGGGTCCCATTGACATTTTGGGCATTCCAACAAAACTTCTGAGTGCAACTTCCTTGCTCGCATTACGTCCAAGTCACTCGCCACAAAAATACACCATCGGGTTGATCAACCCTTCGTAAAACAGATAACTGAACATGTCCCATCAACAGCCGATACCATATCGTCCAACTTTTCCACCTCGCACGATCGGGGGGAGTACGATTTACTACCTAGTAACATTGTGATTGCCTTTTATTTCAACCACGGACCGACCAAACGCGAGCGTGCCAATTCGGAAGGCCAGCCTCTCTTCTTCGGTTAACCGGTCATCATCATCGTCGTTGGATGATCGGAGCGGAGAGCATCTAAAGTGTTTAGATTTTTCATATAAATATTGGACCCAACCGGTCGAACTGTATCAGTGCTTCAGTTAACTTTAATTCGACTAAATCGTTTCGTTGCACGCATCCCAAGTGCAAGTTTCCTTCGACATAATGGCGTTTAAGGTGAGAACAAGGCAGCAAATTAGTAAAGATTAGTGCAGTGTTTTTGATTTGAAGTGATTGAAGAACCGTGAAATTTTCAAAAATGGGCTGTTCTGAAATATAAGAGGCACAATAATACCAATCAAAAAGTGTCAACCCAGGCAGATGTTCAAAATTAAAGTGACAAAGATTTGAAATCGACTGCATTACTCCCTCTTAAATTAACTATTGAATACTGTGTGTATTAGAAAATGCACGTAGATGCTCATCATTCATGTTTATCAATCAATCAATCATAAAATTGTATTAATATGGAATCAGTTTCCCGTAACCTTCGAATGTTCTATAAAGAAGAGCTTAACTTCCTTTCATCTCAACCCAACAGATGGTTGCCCTGTTTGCCACTCTGGCCTGTGCCAGCGCTGGCTACCTTGAAGCTGATCACCACTCGGCACACTACTCCCCAGCCTCGGCCGTCAGCTACAGCTCAATCACCCGTGAGCACCATCCAACTAAGATTGCCAAGACCGTATCCTATGCCGAACCAGCTGTTCACTACGCTGCTCCAGTCACCAAGACCGTATCATACGCTGAACCAGCTGTCCACTACGCTGCTCCAATTACGAAGACCCTAGCATACGCCCAACCAGCTGTGCACTATGCTCAGCCTTCGGTTCAGTACGTTCATGAGCCAACTTACACCAAGACTGTTGTTGCTGAACCAACATACGTGCACCAGCAGCCATCCGTCTACGCTGCCAAGACTCTGGCATACCAAGCCCCGATCGTCAAGAATATCATTCCAGCTTCCAAGACCTACGTATCCGAGCCTATTTACGCCAACACCTACGCTTCTGCACCAGTATATGCCAAGAACTACGCTTCGGAACCAGTCTACGCCAAGACCTATGCCTCTGAGCCCGTCTACGCCAAGACCTATGCTTCTGAGCCCGTCTACACCAAGACCATTGTCCAGCAGCCGACCTACGTCAAGACCGCCCCGTCTTTGTACGCCCATTCTGCTCCAGTTTTTGCCGCCAAGACTCTGAGCTACGCACCAGAATCCTCGGATTCTAGCGCTCACTACGCTTGGTAAACACAAGGATTGCCAGATTCCTCAGAACTTTCCATCACTCAGGTGGAGTTCGGAGTTCGAAACCGTCGATCTGAACCAACTCAATCACCAACCGCCAAATATGTTGACCGATATTGTTGAATAAATCTGTTTTTACGACTGAAGACGATGTTTGTATTTGTATTACCTTCCAATCTTTATTGGAACTGCTTTACGTGCTTAGTCTGCAATTTGTAGCCTGGCTAATTTGTTATTATGTTCTATTATGTGACATAAGCTATGAAGAACCGTTACAATCTTTTGAACGTTTTGTCGTTGACGTTAGGGGATTTGGTCGTCGATTTTCCCGCAAAACTTTAGTTAAAGGTTTCTGATTTTCCCGGTCATCTTGGTCTTTGAAAATTCATAACTCGTGAACCAAGCATTGTACATTAAAAGTTCCGTGAAAAATGGTAAGGAAACTATTTCAGCAATCCATATTAAATATAATTTGCATAATGTTTTAATTGGAAATTTTCACGCTGGAGGAAAGTCACAAAGAAAAGCAGGCAAACAATTATCTGAGTGATGAAAATTGTTTCAACTATTGTTTCATCCTTATAAAAAAAAATTACACTGGTGAAAATTACTAAATGGTGTCTCATGCCGGTTCTGAGTTATGAACAAAAAATAACTGCCAGGACACGTAATTTTAATTTTTTTTTTTCGAACATAAAATAATTTAAAAATTCATAACTCAAAAGGACAAGACATACCATTTGTAACCGTTTAGTTACAATGTCCTAGGCTTTAATTTGTGCATGTTGTTTTAGGAAACTGTAGTGTTTGTTTAGTGTCAGTGTTGGGTTAGTAGGATTTGTAGGATTGCAGGTAAAATTGCTGTTATTGAAAAATGTATAAATTTGTCTTAGTAGGTAGTTTGAAAATGATATTTGTTTAGCTTAATTGGATGTGACACGAAACGGTGTTATAATCAACTGTGGTAGAAAAACTCAATAGGCGAAGGAGATGATATGGATGGGTGGTGATAAGCTACAAGGAAGGAAAATGGAGGAAATAAGGAACGAATTGTAAACTGGATGGGAAAAGGAGGGCTTTTGATAGCTGGGATGGTCAACCATTGCCCAGAAGTAAACCGGCGTTTGTGCCTAGAAGACGTGAGTGGAGTGCAAAAGTGAACCAAAGTGCAGAGAACAACCTTTTTATGTTCCTGGTGTTCATTCAGGACCTTTTTTTGGTATTCCACGGATATCCTCACGATCGGCACTTTTCGACCAAGTCAGTCTCGACTGTCTTGGTCTTAATGTCAAGGACCTTCAACTCTCCGGCTTAATAATTGCCAGAAAGGAGAGCATCCTCGGACTCGGTAGTCCTAATTGTTAAGGAGGAAGACCCTTCTCGGCTCGACCAAGGTGGCCTTGTCACGGTTAGCTGATGTTCGCCAACGAAGGGAGACGCCGTTGACACCGAAAAGGCTACTTCAGTAGCTGAACAGGGATTGCTATATTCCCTGGTTGCGAACCGCCATCGCAACGCGCAAACCCAAGCCTCAAACCCGCCATTGTAGTGACCACAGCTACAGTCACCAGGCACCATCTTCCAGACCAGTTATAGACACCGATCCGCCATTGTCGACGGAGTGATCAAGCCACGGATCGCCATCGCGGTCAAACAACAGCTGCCCAATATAATCACCGCCATCGTCAAGCAAACACCACCGGTACGTACCAAGGAAGCAGAAACCCATAGAACACACCCCATAATAGCCCAATAAAACCATCCGCACCATAGTTCCATTTTAATAAACTTCTAAACTTTTTCCACCCACACTTTATCTTCCAATTAATTTCACTATCACTTAAGAAATCCCACAGTTTCTGCACAGTTTGTTTCACGTACCCCTCCGAATTACCAAGTAGCACAGGGCCACACAGTTCAGGGGTCTCATGCTACTGAGCTAGATATCCGGGAATCTTGGTTGAGCCACTAGGGTGAGTCTCATCTAGTCTCACATTCTGAAATATTCACCAGTAAAAGATAAAAAAAAACTTTCCAGCAATCAATACTATTTAGGAAAAATTTTATTATTCGGAAAATGATTTCTCCTGGATTTGTTTGTGGAAAAAAAAATTAAGATTGTATTTTGTATGGGTTGCTGATATAATATGCTCACGATTACACTGAAAGAAATTCTTGCAACGATACTTGTATAATGAGTTATTGAATTTTAAAATATTTGAAGACCGGGAGAATCTGAAAAGTTAGAATACATTTCCAAGGCATTTATTTTTTTTATCATCATTCAAAAACGATAAGAGACTTCACTTTGAAATTTTCACCAGTTCAAGATATTTCTTCTTAATCGTGAATAAAATAGTTCTAAAACTTTCCTAACTCAGAAAATGGTTTTTCCTGCTTTTTTGTGATTTTCCTCCGTGGTGAAAATTTTCATTTCTCTATAATTTTACAATTTTTTTTCCTCTGTTCGGGACATAACATCACTGCGACCAGTAATTTCATCTATTGGTTTAGTGCATGTCGCATTACTCCATCACTATTAAGAAATGCTGAAGTATTCGGTTTTGATACAGTCGTCATTTTTGCCTTCCTCGCAAGGAATCGACTCTAATTGAAAGGTCCCCCTATTTATACCCTTCGGAGTGTTGGAACACCCTCCAAAGGCGCGCCCTTTGTCTGTCAAAATTGGATTACTTAGCAACAAAAACAAGCAATGACACCGATAATTATCATGGATCAGAACCCTAGTCTTAACCACTTCAAACTAGGGAACAACGAATAGAAGATTGGGAATCACATAAGTGAAGACTAACTAACTCATATTTTCCTTGTTTCAAGATAATCCCCTGTCCAGGCAACCTGAGGGCTTATCACTATCAACAAGACATAAAAAGTAACAAGGACTAGGATGTGTTCCTTTGATGACTGAAAAATCCTATTCCCCTAGTTTGAAGTAGTGAGGACTAGGAATCGGTGGTAGATCTTACATAGATTAAAATAACTGCCCACGTTACCGGGTATCATTTTACTAAACAACATTTGTTGAGTTATAAATTTTCAAAATTTGTGATGCATGGGAAAATCCAAAAACCTCTACTAAAGTTTTCCCGGAAAATTTACCAATCCATTATTTCTTAATTTTTTATTCATTCATATGATCATAAAGTATACCTGTGGACAAAATGTCATGGCATTTTGAGAACCTTCCGCCTAAACTTGTCCGATAGTTAAGAAAATCCCCGTTACTCAAATTGTTATACAAGCATTTAAGTTATTTTGCAGTGATGAAAAGTTATAAGTTTGGATTGTAGTAATTATAAATAACTTCATTCAATCCATAATACAAATCAGTTTATGTTGTTCCTAGTCAAGCCAAAAATTTACTTCCTCGGACTTCAGGAAATTTCGTAAATCGAATAAATGAATGCCAAATGACTTAAAAATACATGAAACGAAGCGATCTACACTCTAAAAAATACAGAAAACTTCGTGAGCTTGAATTGATTTAAGATTAAATTTTGTAGTTATGTAGTTCAATAAAGATGAAAAAAAAAATGTTGACGCTTAATAATAAATACGACTAGATGCAAATTACCGTCATGTGATTCAATATTAGATCAACTGCTGAAAAATACGCAATTTATTTAAATTTAGGTGACAAAACATATGAAATAACATGACCGTAAGCATAACAGTAAATCAAAGACGGGTTCATATAGATGTAAAATTACATGAAGATTTTTTCCCGTCGATCTTGTTTTCCGTACTGAGTACCAATGCTACCAACGCCAGGGAGGCAGCTCCCACACCTGGACCCTACCTATCGACCCATCAACTCAAGAACCGGGGACCAACTTCCCTTCCGAAGGAATAAGAGGGAATCTCGCATACTAGGTACATCTTCACCGCCGGCGCCGCTGACATGAAGATTAATCAGTCAAGCTTCAATCGTCATCGGCAACGCATACCACAGTTTTAACACGTTCGATGCCTGGACCTAATCGACGGCTACAATAAAAGCCAGCAGAATGGTTTAGCGACTCATTGAAGCTATTGTCAGTGACTTCAAGTCTCGTCTGATAAGTGCACTCCACACGACAAAAGAATTGTGAACAGTTACATCAATATGTTCAACAATAGTTTTGATGGGTAATCAGTACAGTGCTGCTTATCATCAATAATTTTGTTTTAAGCCGATGGACTATTTCATGAAAAATTACAACATTCTTGACAAAATATGCCCAGCTGGTGTAGTAATATAACAAGGGTAAATCCGGGACGGGACTTGACAATCAAGCTTGTCACTCTTCTTAATGTTTTTGAAGAATGCCCTTCGGAAAGTTGTGCGTGGTGTTTGACGGAGTTTACCAATGATGCCAGGAATGTAAAATATTTCTTCTATTTTAATTTGTATTTTATTCGGAGTTTCAGTGAGCAGTGCACTCAATTTTTCAACATTCCTTTCGCAAATATTAACAAATAACAGCGCCATTGACGTCAACATTGATTCCGGCATCACTGCCAGCCAGATTGATGCGATCCCTCTGTCCTTTTTATTCCACAATTGCTACTGAACCAATCAGAAACTGGCTTGAATTTTATAGCAAATTGGCTCGAAATCGCTACGCGATTGTCAAGTCCCATCCCAGGGGTAAATGAGAATAATAAAAAATATTGAAAATAGAAAATATTGAGGCTCAAAATAATTTTTCTTTTTTTTTTCATTTTGGATGAATATGTTCCGTTGTCAATATTTTCATTAATACGATTGTCAATACTTTTGAGTTTTGATATATTTTCTGTCCGTGTGGTGCTTGCTATAAAAATATTTATTTACTGCACAGAGTTTTTTTTTCAGTGAATGACATTGTCATAACTAATTTGTTAGAAAACAACCCAACAAACAATCGCCTATTGAAGAAACGGCGTCTTACCGATGTTATACAACTGCATGCTTAATAATACTTGTACTATATTTAATAATAACTTCTATTCACTCAACGGTGAGTCGTGTGATTAAACGTTACTAAGAAACTCTGAGCATTGAACGGAAGGAGAAATGCGGTCCGAATGGATATTCTATTAGTGATCAGGATTACAAGCGTGTCGTGAAAGCGTTTAAGCGGAATCCCAATGCTTCGGTCAGGGATGTGGCTAAAAAGTTGAATCTGTCCAAGTCTTTCGTTCAGAGAGCCAAGGACCGGGAGGGACTGCATGCGTACAAAGTGCAGAAGGCTCCAAATCGTGACGACCGGCAAAATACGGTGGGAAAGTCACGGGCCCGGAAACTGTGCACCCAGATGCTGACGAAGCCTCATTGTCTCTTCACCGCCCAAGACAAGTTTGATGTTCCGGAGGAAGTAAGGAAGCAGAAACTTTCAAAGTTTGCCAAGAAATACATGATTTGGCAAGCGATCTGCTCATGTGGCAAACGGAGTGCGCCGTTCATGACAACCGGGACTGTAAACGGGGAGATCTACTTCAAGGAGTGTCTGCTTCCTCTGTTTGTTATTTCAACAGGGTCCTATGATCTTCTGGCCGGATCTAGCTTCGTGCCACTATTCAAATGTTGTCGTGGAGTGGTACGAAGCCAACGGGGTCACTTTCGTACCCAAAGACATGAAGCCCCATGGAGTTAAGCGTAAGGTGCGAGCGTACGGTTTTGGTATTGAAGTTGCATGAAAAAAATATGCCAAAAGCTTACTAATGGGTTATATTTTATTGGCTGAAAGTTTGAAAAGGATCGCTCATCCAGGTAATTTTGTACAGTGTTTTTTCCGTGATGCAATTTGATGTGGGATACCCTTTAGACTAATTCTACCACATCACACATAATTTCCAATGAAAAAAAAATGATGCTGGGCTATTTTTCAAACTACATCAGTGAATTCATTGTCGTGAATGATTTGATTTAACAAGGCAAAAACCACAAATAAAAAAAAGGATTTTTATGATCTGTCATTTGACGGAATCACAAACTTTTGCATTTTTTTTATCATGAGCTGTTCTTTGAGAATAATCTTAATCTTCTTTATGTATTAAAGTTATATGTTATTATCAGATGACAGCCAAATACTAGCTGGATTTTAATATGGGCAATTTTATGAAGAGTCATTTGGCCGAATCATAAAATTTCTTAATTTTTTGGGAATAGTCTTCTTTATTTTCTTTAACGAATAGTTTTATGCACGAAATAATTAAAACCCATGTTTTTCTTATCGACCTGTTACGATTTGCATGAAACTTTGTATAATTGTTTTTTTATTGGCTTTTTCACATTCTTGCTAAATTCGGCTATTTAAGATCTTCTAAAAATTTCAAAATGACGTCTTTGAAATTTTTCAAAAAAATTAGCGTGGAAACGGACTTTTAGATCAAAATGAAGAGAAAATTAATATTTTATAGGAAAATATACAAACAATATTGTTTAGAAATTTCAAATGAATATTTAAAAAAAATTAATCTTATACCTCTCAAAATGTCCTAGTTTGTTCTTTTTTTTTTAATTTTAATTTAAAACCTAACAAAAATTGCAAACTTTTGAAAAATTTAAACTTATGGGCACTTAAGATTTACAAAATTCGTAGCACAAGAACTTTTGGTCAAATTTGAAACTTTTTGTTAAACGTTTTTCACGTAATTCATACTCAGAAAACAATGTTCCCGACATTTTAAATAATTTCCTGTGATAAATTACACAAAAATGTGTGCTAACAAAATGATCAAAAATGTTACCACATGTTGTTGTTCTACGATTTGTGTTATTTTGTGGTTTTGGACATTTCATATGCGTTTTTCAAAAGATTTTTTTCGAAAATTGGACGAGGACATTTTGAGACATTTTAAATTTGAAATAAAAAATAAATTGTTTGTATATTTTTCAAAGAAAGACATAATTTTTTTCTAAAACTTTATCTCAGACATCATTTTGACCCACAGTTTCAGTGCGACAATTTTTTTAACACTCGCAAACAAAGCATAAATGCCTCGAAGAAAAAAAAGATGACAAGTGATCCAATTATCCAATCCCGCCATGATGCCAAATAAATAAAAATTTGTCATTTTTTGCAGCTCAAGCACCGAAGGCTTACATGACAAGAAACCCATCAATATACAAGACCGTTAAGTAAAAAATTAGAAATGCTAATTCAATAGTAAATCATGACTGCTAAGAAACTTATATGACCTTTTATCCTTCACCCTTTTGTCAAAGATTCCACAGACTGTTTCCTAGAGCTTCCATTTCTCGGTAGATTCCACCATCCCGGGATTCGGGAAATATTTATTTGATATCCCGGGAAATCCCGGGATCCCGGGAAGTGAACAAAGATAGTAAATTGTTTTAATATTCGTATGTTTCATCTCCTTCGAAGAAAGTATAAAAATGGAGATTCCTTCAATACTAGGGGCACCAGATTTAAAGACATATCTTCATTTTGAAGACATTTAAAATTCTGTGAAAGTATTTTTTGTTTATGAGAAAGTTTGAACATACTGAGAGGTAAGCACATATCATCGGTAAGAGACATGTGTTTGAGAAAATTTGCGGTATTTTTTGCATGCAGACATTTTGAAGACATCTCATGATTTGTGAAGTTGTTTCAAGACATGCGGAAGCTGAAGCAGGCTTCCGATGGATTTTTTAAATGTTAAGCTGGCATATGAAGATTTTTGTTAAATAAATGAAGTTTTTGACTTCATATTTTAAGCTTCTTCCTGAATATGTTGAATATGCATAATGTAACCAAAATCGGATAATTCAGAATAAAACTTGATCCAATTGAATATTCACAGGACTTCACTGAAATATTCGATTAGCTGGAGATCTTTTGAATACTTCCTGATCAACGTACAGTTTTGGGAAAATATCTTCACAATAATACTTGATCAACCTGAAGTCTTGAAAAATATCCAGAGGACTTAATTGTGATCTTCGATCAGCTGGAGATCTTTAAGTACTTCATAACCGGTCTGCCATCTTGAGAGAGCCAATTGAATGTTTGACTAGTTTAAGATCTTCAGATTTCCTGATTAACCTGAATTCACTAATATCTGACCAACCAGAAATCTTGAGAGACTATCTAGAGACGTTACTTGAATTTTATGAACAGTTGAATATCTTAAGAATAATAATTTATCAACCTGAAGTCTTGAAAAATATCCAGAGGTCTTTAAATCTCGGACCAATTGCATATCCTTTAAATACTCTCTAATCAAACTTCCATCTGGAAGGATGTCTGAAAGATGTCGTTTGAATTTTTGAACAGTTGTAGATCTTCAGAACATTACTTGATTAAGTTGAAAAGTCTTGAATAATATCGAGAGATATCATCGCAAATCCGTGAATATCAGTTATACGAAGATTCCAGTACTTACAATAAGTTTCTTGAACTTAAACTCAGTTCCATGAACTCAAAGCCTACATAAAGTTCTCAGAATATGTAGAATATTCGACGAAATCCCGGGATATTCCGTCAGCTTCTTCGAAATTCCCAGTACTTCAAGGATTTTTCCATAGCTTACATCTTTCAATTTTTCGATAGGTACAACTTAATTTCTGCCCAGCTTGCTGAACTTTCAAATAATTCATGCAATGTTCCGTAATCATCGTCCACGAAGTTGTTTAATATTCTACGAAGTATCCTGAAGATCTATGATGGTCCCTGAAGTTTCACGAACTTCTATGAAGTTCTCTGAAATCTAATGAATGTCTCTTACATCTAAGAAGTTCTCTAATGTGACGTGATGTCAGCCAAATTTCACAATAGTCCGTACAGATCATGAGGATTATGGTGGATGATTTCTCTCATGAATGTATTTGTAAAAACTATTTTGCCGTGCTTCAGGATTACATATAGATTATATACTTACGGGTAAAGGTAATGCATACCTTTGTGCGTAATAAATGACAGCGATGGAGAGCTATGGAAGCCAGGAAAGAAAACGGTGACATATAGAACTTCCTCCAGAAGGAGTAAGCATTTTACAATATTCAGCTCGCTAATCTAAGGAAGGACTCTGAAAACTGCAAATACTGAGTTTTTTCATCAGTTGAGACTAATACTACGTACTTCCAACCATCTTAACAATGCATTTCAATGATTTTTCGATCAACTATGAATGATGGAGATCTCACAACGCTCAACCTATATATTTCATAAGATGTGAAAGATGGATTCTGCTACAGATATTCCAAGATAGATTTGATGGAGTAAAAGAGTGAACTAGTGAAATTTCCCGGGATTCACTCAATCCCGGTATTTATAAATTTATTTCCCTGGATTCGGTAATCCCGGAAAATGTCACAATCCCGGGCATCCCGGGATGGAAGCTCTACTGTTTCCTTCTTTCAGAGAAGCATCTGCCCACAAACTCAGAAGCAAAAGGATTGCTTTCCCGAATCACACCCATCGTTCATTTACAACTTAAAATTCGCCGTCTATCGCATCTCTTCTACAAACATGCGATTCAACCGATGATCACGTCATCCAGCTGTAGTGCATCGCATTTTGTGCGGAGGGGGGGATTAGTTAGCCTATTTTGGTGTTAATTAGTAATTGTTTTATTTTTCCGCTTCAACTCCCGATCAACAACGATTGGAAGGCCAGCCTCTCTTCGTCGTTACGCCGGTCCTCGTCATCATCGTCGTCGGTTATTTGCTCGGAGCCGAGAGCATCAAAAGTGTTTCGATTTCTCATATAAATATTGGATCCAACCGGCTGAACTGTATCATTGCTTCAGTTAACTTTAATTCGACTAAATCGATTCACTGCAGACATCTCAAGTGCAATTTTAAATCGACATAATGGCGTTTAAGGTGAGAACTCGGTAGCAGATCAGAATAGAAAATCATAATATAAGTGACGAGTTTGAAGATTCGTGAAGTTTTGTGAAAACACATGAGCAGATGATCTCAAGTCAACTGAAATATATTCGATGAGAATACCAAAAAAAAAAATCCCTATGTGGTATTGTTTTTGAATTGCATTTGCATAGTTTGGTTTTGTAATGATATTGTGGGAACATATTTGTGGTATTATTTTTTGGTATTTTACCTTCTATGTCGACTAATCTTTACCAATTTAAGATCAGATCTATCAATCAATATCTAGACTCATCTAGAATGAAATGGATGTAATCCTTAGAACCATTCAATAACTGTATATATTTCTTTTCATCTCAACCCAACAGATGGTTGCCCTATTTGCCACTCTGGCCTGTGCCAGCGCTGGCTACCTTGAAGCTGATCACCACTCGGCACACTACTCCCCAGCCTCGGCCGTCAGCTATAGCTCGATCACCCGTGAGCACCATCCAACTAAAATTTCCAAGACCGTATCCTATGCCGAACCGGCTGTCCACTACGCCGCTCCAGTCACCAAGACCGTATCATACGCTGAACCAACTGTCCACTACGCTGCTCCAATTACGAAGACCCTGGCATACGCCCAACCTGCTGTGCACTACGCCGCCCCGGTTGCCCAGCCATCGGTCCAGTACGTCCATGAGCCAACTTACACCAAGACTGTTGTTGCTGAACCAACCTATGTGCACCAGCAGCCAACCGTATACAATGCCAAGACATTATCCTACCAAGCTCCACTCACCTACAGCGCCCCAGAAACCAAGACCTACGTATCCGAGCCAATCTACGCCAAGACCTATGCTTCTGCACCAGTCTATGCCAAAACCTATGCCTCCGAACCAGTCTACACCAAGGCCATTGTTCAGCAGCCGACCTACGTCAAAACCGCCCAGCCCTTGTACGCTCATTCCGCTCCAGTTGTTGCCGCCAAAACTCTGAGCTATGCTCCAGAATCCTCATCTGCTCACGTTAGCTTCCAGGATGCCAGTGCTCATCATGCTTGGTAAAAACAGAGAAGATACTTTTTCAGAACTCAGGTAGAAGTTAGCATGAGTGATCGATGTGTATGTGATACATATAACCAACAACCGCCGACTATGTTAAAAGATTTTGTTGAATAAATTTACGAATGCGAATGATTATGAATGTTGCTATATCCGAATACCCAGTAGACTGATCCAAAATTGCTGAGTGCAAAGTGCTGAAACAGTTTCATCGGATCCTGATTAGCCTCCCAAAATATGAACTCATTTTTTGAGAAATTGACTTGGCACAAACCATTTGAAGTTTACATGGAAATTACAATGGAAAAAACAAACATTTTATTAATTGTCTTCTAGCCTTTTTAAATATTGCACTGTCAAAAAGTTATATGGCTATTCTAATGGGAAATTCGTTTTTCAGCCAAACGTTAAATGAATTAGATATTAATTGTTTTAAACATTGATAATCTTAAAACATGATCATGCAGCTGTATTCTGTAGTGTCACATAGTAGCCATGATTTTGTGCTTTATTCTACGCGCCAGAAACACCAATGTTGCCTGCTGAACAGTTGATTAAGCATGACGATAAGACACCAGCGACTTGAATCATTAGTAACTTTTGTTCCTTTCATTTAATCGAAAAGTAGTTTTGAACAAAGTTGTCACTGAGAAAATTCCCTACAAGCACAGTTATCATTTTCTATAGCAGAGCGATATGGTGAATTGATAGATGTAGATGACCAAAAAAGTTAGATTCCCCATAGTAATTTCCATATAAACTTCAAATGGTTTGTGCCAAGTCAGTTTCTTATTAAATAAGTTTAAATTTTGGGAGGCTAATCAGGATCTGATTTGGAACCGTCTGAGCGTTGTGGAGCGAAAATTTCAACTTTTGCGTCAGTCTAATACCCAGCTATAGTACGAAGCAAACTTGAAACGCGTTTTCTCAGCTTGCTGATTTGTGCTATGGGTCGTACTTGTCGTGAGCAGCAGTGCAGGTATAGAATACCTATTTAAAATACTGAATAACCAAAGCAGGAACAATATAATCACACTTAGATATATATCATAACAACAAAGGCTGGAAAGTTCATCTAAAGGGTGTATTCGCTAAAAAAAAGGCACACCGAAAATCTTCTGTAACTTTTGAACCGTATGAGTAAACAACCTGAAAATTTGAGTAAATCTTATTCATAGTGTATTGTTCACATCTGTCAAATTTCAAAGTAATTCATACAGTAGTTCCAGTCATGCATTCGAAACAAGAAATTGTGTGCACTTACAATCAAAATCCTGAGGCGTCCCACCGATGGATCGCTGAAAAGCTTGGAATTGCAAACACAGCTTTTCCCCGAAGAAATCGTTACCCACTGAGTTGCACCCACCGCTTTGCCTCGATGGGTTTTCAACCAAGCGCTCTGATTTTCTGCGAGAGACTAGTTCTCTATTGACCCTACTCACATACAAAAAATCAGAACGACTGGTTGAAACCCCGCCGAGGAAAAGCGGTGGGTGTTTTTGTTTTTCTTCATCGGATCTAAATGAAGTCTGATAAAAAAAACAGGTAGCACAATCCTTCACGTGTACATTACATGGACAGCTACTCACCTTCTCAGGAGTCTGCGTTGAATACGGTGACGAAAGGTTTCCGCTGCACAGTTGAAGTTGAAAAACTCGTTGAAACGCCCAGACATGAACCGTATTGGGTCATGCAAGCTGTAGTTCGCAGCACGAGGTCCAAGATGCAGGAAACTCCTCGATCGAAGAACTCGTTCGGGTGCGTAGATTTCGAATTCAGCCAAGATTCCTGGAGAGTCGATATCACCAATAAGTACTTTCGCTGCGAACACGGCCTGACTAATCGTCCGCCTATGTTCTAGTGTTTCAAGACCCAGGAGTTGACAACGATCTTCGTACGGCGGAAGGTTCACAGGGTCATTCCAAGGAAGGTGACGAAAGGCATACCGAACAAATTTCCTTTGAACAGATTCAATCCTCGCTATCCAAACTGCTTGATACGGGCACCATACTACCGAGCTGAATTCCAAGCTCGATCGCACTAGAGAGCAGTATAGTGCTTTTAGACATAAAGGATCGCGAAACTCGTCAGTGATCTTGAAAATGAACCCGAGTTTCCTGTTAGCTTTCGCAACGATGCCCGAGTAATGAAGCTTGAATGTTAAGGCGCAGTCCAGCGTGATTCCTAGGTCACGAACATTGTCCACACGTTGCAGAAGTTGGTGATTTATCGTATAGTTGAATGCCACTGGTTTCTTTTTTTTTTTTTATAATTCGTTTATTTTTCCAGGCTCATTTGCTGTAGCTTTGCGGAGCCGATATTCATTGTTTAAATAACAAAATTACTTAAAACTAACGTTAGTAAAGCGGAGGCCGATTACTCGCGGCTATCTCGAGGTTAGGGGTAACAAATTGTAACAAATGGATGGCAGGGTAGGGATTGTGAACACAAGGTTTGTAGAGCAATGTGCTCTTGATCTCGAACTAGGCGACACTCTGATGAAAAAGACAAACATGGGGGTACACCGATGGGCAACTAACAACTTGGGAGAACACAAGATGACACTAACTACTAAATCCTCAAATCTATCCGTTTTAAAAACACATAAATTAAATTCAAATAGTCGAGGTCTCGGCTCGCCAAGACATCTCTAACGGGTATCGCGGGTTGTTTTCCTCGGGCCCTGAGGGATATGGATAACTCAGATCTGGCAACACGGTGTAAGGTACATGACCAAACAACGTGCTCGATATCGTGATAACCACTGCCACACGCACATAAATTGCTGCCTGAGAGCCCAATTCGATAGAAATGCGAGTCTAACGAGCAGTGATTGGACATAAGCCTTGATATAACGCGTATAAAGTCGCGGCTCATGTCCAACCCTTTGAACCATGGTTTGTTCGACACCTGTGGGAGAATCGAATGTAACCATCTTCCCAATTCACCATCATTCCATTTTTGTTGCCAACTGATGAGGACTTGCTGACGAGCAATGGAGAAAAATTCGTTGAAGGCGATTTGTCGCTCAAAAATATCGCCTTCCATAGCGCCCACCTTAGCCAATGAGTCCGCTTTCTCATTACCCGGAATTGAGCAATGAGATGGGACCCAAGCTAAGGTGATAGTATAGGAGCAGTTAGATAAAGCACTCAGTTTAGATCGTATTTCAGGCAGGAAATACGAGGAGTGCTTCATCGGCCTCATTGAACGAATAGCCTCCAATGAGCTAAGACTATCCGTAAAAATAAAATAATGGTCAGACGGTAGTGAGGCAATTCGCTCTACTGCGTAAAATATAGCTGCGAGTTCCGCAACGTATACTGAGCATGGTTTCTGCAGTTTATAAGAGGCGCTATGAAATTGATTAAATACACCAAATCCAGTGGAAGCATTTATGGTTGACCCATCTGTGAAAAATCTTTTATCGTTACTTACATGGTGGTACTTGATTGCAAAAATTGAGGGAACAACCATCGACCGATGGTGATCTGGTATTCCATGGATTTCTTGCATCATGGTTAGATCAAAATTTACAGAGGAACTATAGAAGGCTTGAAAGCAATCACGATTGGAGATTAATGAAGAAGGACCAACCTCCAGCGTCATGTACTCATAGTACAAACTCATGAATCTTGTTTGAGGATTTCTGTCGAGTAGCTTCTCAAAATTTTCTATTACCAATGGGTTCATTACTTCACAACGGATAAGAAACCGGAAGGACAGTTCCGCGAAACGATCTGTCAGTGGGAAAACACCCGCGAGTACTTCGAGGCTCATCGTATGCGTCGAGTGCATACAGCCAAGCGCGATTCGGAGGCAACGGTATTGAACCCGTTGCAGCTTCAGGATATGTGTTTTCGCCGCGGATTGAAAACAGAAGCTACCGTACTCTAGAACCGACAAGATGGTTGTTCGATACAACCTGATCAGATCTTCCGGGTGTGCTCCCCACCAAGTTCCAGTAATTGTACGAAGAAAATTAATTCTTTGCTGGCATTTTTGTTTCAGATACGCAATATGTTTTCCCCATGTGCATTTGGAATCGAACCAGACACCTAAATACTTAAAAGAAATACTTTGAGTGATTGTTTTACCCATTAGCTGAAGCTGTAACTGTGCAGGATGGTGCTTCCTAGAAAAAACAACCAACTCAGTTTTCTCCGGAGAGAATTCGATACCCAGCTTCATAGCCCAAGTAGACAAATTGTCTAAGGTATCTTGCAATGGTCCTTGCAGGTCCGGTGCACTTGGCCCTATAACGGACACAACGCCGTCATCTGCAAGCTGCCTTAGCGAGCAATTTTCATCAAGACAACCATCAATGTCTTTGACATAAAAATTATAAAGAAGGGGGCTTAAACATGAGCCCTGGGGGAGACCCATGTAACTAATTCGTGAAGTTGTCGAGTTTCCATGAGAAAAGCTCATATATTTCTCAGACAACAAGTTGCTCAAATAGTTGTTCATAATTGGTGAAAGCCCACTATCGTGGAGTTTATCCGAAAGGACGTCGATACAAACAGAATCAAAAGCCCCCTTAATATCCAAGAAAACTGAACCCATTTGCTGTTTTTGCGCATAGGCCAGTTGAATTTCAGTTGAAAGCAACGCAAGACAGTCGCTCGTTCCTTTGCCTCTCCGAAATCCAAATTGCGTATCTGAAAGTAAACCATTCGACTCGACCCATTTGTCTAGACGAAAAAGAATCATTTTCTCCAACAATTTCCGTATACAGGACAGCATCGCGATGGGACGGTACGAGTTATAATCCGACGCGGTTTTACCGGGTTTTCGAATGGCGATAACTCTTACTTGCCTCCAGTCATCCGGAACAATGTTGTGCTCCAGAAATTGATTGAATAAGTTCAACAAGCGTCTCTTCGCGACGTCTGGGAGATTTTTGAGCAAGTTAAACTTGATTCTATCCATTCCTGGAGCTGAGTTGTTACATGAGAGGAGCGCAAGTGAGAATTCCACCATCGAAAACGGGGAATCTATTTCGTTATTACCCGACGGACGATCACGAAC